CCTATTTTTACCGTTGATGCATTAACGGGTAAGAGTTTCTCGATCCGTCTAAAGATGTTTTTCGTTTCCCATACCCCACTGTAATTCTTGTCGTGGCAGTTTTAATATATACCTGATGACGATGGTACATTAAGTACGGCTTTTGAATAGCAAATTGTTTCATTAGGACCAAACTCGTCATCGTTTATGCCGAATGATTGAGTTCCATACAAGTTGCTACATTGCTACGGAGTTAGAGGTGAGCGTACGCCTAATGAGCCACCACAGCTGAAATCAACCAAATTAATTTCCTCCCTTTGAAACTAAATCGCAATTTCATAACGACCTACGGATGTCTACGGTAATTTGAATGCTACGCGTGTAGCGGCGCCTGCTACAATTGTCTAATTTATCATAGCAGTTTATAGCTTTTGTTCTACGGTTGTTAGAATTTTGTTCCTTGTACAATGTTTAGGTTAGATTATTGTTTATAACTTTCTTCCATAAGCTATAATTTAGAGATAATAAAGTTGGAGATTTTAAAATAAATTGTTTAATAGAATACTGTCTGTATTCTATAGTCGCCCAGTGGTCGAAATTCGACGATAATTAATTGTATATTATGGTAGGGTGTGTAATGGGCCAGTGAAAGATTGTAACGGTACCTACCGTCAGCGAATGAACTATGAACTGGACGTACTTATCGAACACGAGACTATCGTCGTTTTTGCAAGTCACAGTGGTTGTGACGAGCGGGGCACCTTGAGAGAATGCCAGACACGAAAGCAGCTAAAGTAATGGACGCCGAACAAGGTGGACGCAACAGAAGAGACCGAAAGTCAGGCCGAAAATGCGTTGGATCGACTGTGTGGAGGAAGATTTGAGGAGGATGGTAATGATCACAAACTGGAAGAGGACAGCCAATCTTCGAGACAATTGGAGGGACATTGCAGAAGAGGCCAATACCCACAAAGGGTTGTAGCGCCAACGGGGGAAGAAGAAGGGTGTGTAATGTTTTTTTTTTATTGATTTTAATGCATAATTAAAAAGAATTAGTATTCTCGTCTATATAAACAATAAGTGTGGGAAATTCTCTGTCCGCGCAATTTTCGTAAAAAGTGCTACAAAGTTTTTATTTCACGTATTAATATTAATTTACTATTATAGTCAAATATGGAATCTTTAGACTTCTTATAACATGCCCTTAAAGATATATTTATTTTAGAGGTGCAAATGATTGATGAGTTTTAATTCAAAATTCGGTTTTGTCCATTAAATTTATTATTGTCATCATTTTGGATACATTTCGGTTTTTATTTTATTGCTATAGACACACGAGCAATAAATAATATATATATATATATATATATACAGCGTGTCGTTACCATCGCGACAATAAATCAACGTGTAACGCTACTTGCCAATAATCATAAAAAAATATTAACGTTAAACAAAATCCGTAATTAAAAAAAAAATATTTTTCAAACAAACTAATTAAGTAAAAAAGAAACAAAATTTGTAACATCCTATACAACTCGCGCAAGAGCGTCGCATGACAAGCCTCTCCTTATAACAGTATGTTTTCTCTTTTAAATTCATTCAACCCATTCATATGCTTTGTGACCTTTACAAATGAACTTTACGTTACAGTTTTATACGTAAGGGTGTTCTAAAATTGTTTGTTTTGGAAAATATAATAACTCGGTAAATATTGTTGTTTAAAAAATGTAAATGTTTAATACAATTTTTAAAATTATCCTCTATATGTGTGTTCATTTATTGTCGCGGTGGTAACGACACGTTGTGTATATCATCATCATCATTTCAGCCTGTTTGAGTCCGCTGAACATAGGCCTCCCCCATAGACTGCCACGAAGTACGATCCTGAGCCACCTGCATCCATCGACTTCCCGCACATTTGCACAGGTCGTCACTCCATCTAGTGGGGGGTCGTCCCACACTGCGATGGCCAGTACGAGGCTGCCACTCGAGAACCTTTCTTCCCCAACGGTTATCGGTTCTACGAGCTATATGTCCGGCCCACCGCCACTTCAGCTTGCTAATCCTTTGAGCTATGTCGGTCACCTTAGTTCTACTGCGGATGTCTTCGTTACGAACTCTATCACGCAGAGAAATACCCAGCATAGCCCGCTCCATAGCTCGCTGAGCGACTTTGAGCTTCCTCATACGGCCAGCAGTGAAGGACCACGTCTCGGTTCCGTAGGTCATCACTGGCAACACACATTGATTGAAGACTTTAGTCTTCAAACATTGAGGTATATTTGACGAGAAGATTTGCCGTAGTTTCCCGAACGCTGCCCATCCGAGTTGGATTCGTCGATTGACCTCTGCGTCGAAGTTGGATTTACCTAGCCGGACTAACTGTCCTAGGTAAATGTACTCGTCAACAACTTCGAGCTCAGTGCTCCCAACAACAACCGGTATTGGCGTGACATGGAAATTAGACATGATCTTCGTCTTGTCCATGTTCATCTTAAGGCCCACCCGTTGGGAGACACTGTTGAGGTCATTGAGCATAGTACCAAGGTCCTCCAGCGATTCTGCCATGATGACTATATCGTCGGCAAATCGGAGGTGGGTGATGTATTCGCCATTGATGTTAATACCTCGTCCTTTCCAGTCCGTTGAAGGTGCGAGGTGTCTGGAAGAACTGCGGTTGCCAACCCGCTCGCCAAGCGTGGCAACTATGGCAAAAACCCCTCATGAATGGAAGTCCAAGGTGTACGGCCCCCAGTCCCCGGCGGCCCTGCTATTCCTGGCTACGGTAGCGGTCATGGTAACGGCAGGGCAGGGGGGGGTGCTAAGAATCTCCGGCTAAGATTCGGCTACCAACGACGGCGACTGGACCTGGCAACATACAACGTAAGAACATTGAGGACTGACGAGAAGATAATAGAGCTGGAAGAAGAGGTAAGCAGGCTGCGTTGGGATATAATAGAATTATCTGAAGTCCGAAGACAGGGGGAGGACACGATAATCCTTGAATCCGGCAACCTGTTTTACCACCGGGAGGGCGACCAACTGTCCCAAGGAGGTGTCGGATTTATCGTCCACAAGTCTCTCATTAACAACGTTGTTAAAATCGAGGGTGTGTCGTCGAGGGTTGCGTACCTTATACTCAGAATATCCAAACGGTATTCGCTGAAGGTCATACAGGTCTACGCACCAACGTCCACACATCCCGATGATGAGGTGGAGGCAATGTATGAGGATATATCACGAGCCATACATTCCTCCAAAACTCAGTACATGGTGTTAATGGGAGATTTCAACGCAAAGCTAGGCAAAAGGAAAGACGATGAGCTGAGAGTAGGTAGTTTTGGAATAGGGCAACGGAACCCAAGGGGGCAGCAGCTGGCTGACTTTATGGAGAAAGAGGGACTCTTTATGATGAACTCCTTCTTCAAAAAGCAGCCCCACAGAAAGTGGACCTGGATTAGCCCCGATGATTCTGTAAAAAACGAGATAGACTTCATTATGACGAACGGCAAATATTCAATGATGTCTCTGTGATCACAAGGGTGAAGACCGGAAGTGATCACCGATTAGTGAGAGGCACATTGAATATTAACATTAGGCTGGAAAGATCTCGTCTGATGAAGTCCACACTCCGACCATCTCGTGCCCATATCCAGAACTCCGAAAGCTTTCAGCTCGAGCTACATAATCGTTTCCAATGCCTAGAAAATTGCAGCACGGTGGACGATATTAATGCAAAGCTCGTGGAAACTGTCCATGCCGCGGGTCTTAAATTTTATAAGGCCCGCCGCAAAAATAGAACACAAAAACTCTCTGATCACACTCTCAACCTCTTGGGAAAAAGACGAGAGATGCGGTTGCAGTCTTTAACTGACATGTCGGACTACAGGCGGCTTAATAGGCAGATCTCCAAATACATGCGGCGAGACTTACGCAACTTCAATACAGGTCATATTGAGGGAGCTATAGAGCGGAACCTAGGCTCAAAAGTCTTCGCCAGAGATCTGTCTATCGGACAAAGCCAACTGACTAAGTTGAAGACTGACAGCGGCGTTATCATCTCCAGTAGACCAGAGGTTTTGAGTGAGATAGAGAGGTTCTATGGACAGCTGTACACATCGTCGTTGGAGCCACACAGATGTGTGAGTTACGACCCAAGAGCAAAGCTTATCCGACACTATTCCGAGAATATCCCGGACGTCAGTCTGAGCGAGATTTGAATGGCTCTCGACCATCTTAAGAATGGCAAAGCATCGGGAGAGGACGGAGTTACAGCAGAGCTTCTGAAAGCGGGTGGAGAACCGGTACTTGTAGTCCTTCAGAGGCTCTTTAATTCCGTCCTTCAGGGTGGTGCTACACCATAGGCGTGAGCAGAAGTAGTGTGGTGGTGCTGTTCTTCAAGAAAGGCGATAACGCTCTCTTGAAGAACTATAGACCGATATCCCTTCTGAGCCGCGTCTATGTGCTGTTCTCAAGAGTCATCTTGAATCGTCTCGCTTCCAGACTCGACGACTTCCAGCCTCCCGAACAAGCCGGATTCCGAAAAGGCTTCAGTACCATAGACCACATACACACCTTGCGGCAGATTATACAGAAGACCGAAGAGTATAATCTGCCTTTGTGCCTAGCGTATGTGGACTATGAGAAAGCCTTCGATTCTGTCGAAATTTGGGCGGTACTCCAAGCTCTTCAGCGGTGCCAAATTGACTGTCGGTATATCGAGGTGCTGAGGTGTTTGTATAACAAGGCTACGATTCCGTCCAAGTACAGTCCAGTAGTACAAAACCTATCCAACTGCAGAAGGGTGTAAGACAGGGTGATGTCATATCCCCGAAACTCTTCACCGCTGCGTTGGAAGATGTTTTCGAACTGTATATATATATATACAGCTTGAAAACATCTTCTTCAAGCTTGTATATATATATATGTAGTATCAGTGGGTTTTCGGCCGGTGTCCTCGGACATAATGTGGGCAGACGTAGGTATCGCGCAATGAGAGAAGAGTACAAATCAACAAATCAACACAGTATGGTAACACTGACGAAACGAAGGACAGTTCCGTGACGCGTCTTCACTTGTCGGCGTCCACCAAAAAGTGTCGCCTCACGACTCTGTCGAAGCGCACCGGCCCCGTAGTTGCGTGATTTCACCGCTAGGGGCGCGCTTGCGTTCCGTTTAGCGACCGTACTCATGCCCGGATACGACACGGCCATCCTGCATGACACACGCCCTCGTGTGTTAATCTGAAAAAGGAAACTCCAGCACAATTTCCGTTCGGCCATCCTATTTCCTAAAAATTTTCTGCTAGAAATAATAGTTGTGATCTACTTTAGATGGTTAATTAATCACTCAAATATTAGCGGACAATTTTTTTTACTATCACTATACATTTTAAATCAGATTAAACTAGACACACAAATTGCAATCAAACCATTTCAGATCTTGTTCCAAAGACTACCAAGACCCCGTACTATTGAATCGCATTTAAAATTTTCAAAAGATAATTTTAACAGATTTTAAATTTACTGCTATCGCAAACTGGTATCGCATTCGTGGTCCATAACTATCATAATAGTTTCAACTCTTTTTTTCTGTGGACTTCCCCGCGGGAATCCCGAGTCACACTATGACTCTATGATCTATGCTACATGGCAAGATCCGACTGTACTACCCAGTACTACCGCCTACCGCTTACCCACGGACATCTCAACGAGATGACCCCGATTTCTACCAGGCTACGGCTACGATATACTGGTACAGTCTCCGACCCCCGAATCGATCACCAGATAAAGTAATTAACTTGACGCTTTATCGTCATCTATATCATCTTCCTCTACAACCTCAATAGGTACGTGGCCCTCAGGCATCTTCCTAATACGATCGTGAGCATACTTATAGGTACGCTTATTAACCAATGACCTCAAAACATATCGGTCTCCATCAAGAACTTCTGTAATTTGGAACGGACCCCTAAACTTTACATCTAACGTGGTTTGGTTACGTTCCTCATTCTCAATTAAAACGTATTCGCCAACCGAGAATCTATTCACTACCGCTTTATTCATATCAAAACGTGCTTTGTTGTAACCTGCGGATGCCTGTATGCCTTCAGACGCAGATTGCCTAATTTTAATAAGGTCTATGACGTCCTCGTTATCATTGACAATCAAATCCAGTGGACGAGCTACCTTCCCTATTAAAAGCTCTAATGGACTAGATTTTGTGACACGATTGACAGTACAATTTAAAGCAAGTTGCACGTCACCAAGGGCGTCCTGCCACGACCTATCCTTGCTAGTTTCTACTGCCGTTAACATAGATTTTAACACACTCATTATGCGCTCAACCTGTCCATTAGCGCGACTTGTCCCTGTAGCAATAAGGTGTAGTTTGATATGCTTACTATCACAGAAGTCTTGGAACTCCTTACTAGCAAAACAGCGACCCTGATCTGCGATGATGCGTACAGGAGCGCCAAATAATGCTACGCTATCCTTCACTGCCTTGATGCTGCACTTGGTGTCTATATTTTTAGTATGAAAAAGCAATACATACTTGGTAAACGCATCAATCATAACGAAAACGTATTCTTTGCTGTCGCTCTTTCCGCTCAATTTTCCGGTCGCATCGATGTGTACTGTATGCCATGGTATTGCGGCTTTCGGTATAGGATGCAGCTCGGCATGTATCTTACCAGAATGGGGTTTTGCTACTTTGCAGGTCACACAGTTGTCCACAAACTTTCTTACATATCGACTTATACTCTCGAACCAGTGATGATCATATAGCTTCTCCAATGTTTTATTCCATCCAAGGTGGACTAGAGAATCATGGAAGTTGTTAACGACTGACCATCGCATAGCTCGAGGAACCATGGGTAAACATTTCGTTCTGCCATTTCGTTGTACTTTTTCGATAAAGTATGCCGGATCTTACCTCATATGTTTTAGCGACGTCGTCATTGAGCTGTCCTAGGTCTAGGTCAGAAATAATCTTCTTAATACCTTCGTCTCTCTGCTGCTCTGCTAGAAGCCAATTATCAGAAAGTTCCGCCACGTTCACACATTTCTGTTCCAATTTCTTAATGCGTGGTTTTGTTGAGCCAGGTGGCAACAGGTTACGAGAAAAGAAATCAGCATGCGCCATTTGCTTGCCTACTCTATATTTGATGTCAAAATCAAAAGACTGCAAAAAGGTCCACCAGCGATGAACCCTCGGCGCCAAATCAATTTTGGTGCGGGACATCTTCAGAGAATTACAGTCGGTTAGGACTGTGAATTTCAAACCATGCAGATATTGCCTAAAGTGTCTTACCGCATTGACGACGGCGAGTGTCTCCAACTCGTACGAGTGGTATCTGGACTCAGCCGACGTCGTGCGTTTGCTATAATAGGCCACTGGTCTTCGCTTACCCATTAAACGAGAAAAGTTTGGTACGAACTGCCTAAAGTAAGATGCCAATCCTACAAATTGTCTAACCTGAGTGATTGATGTAGGTGAAGGTAAAGACAACAGAGCTTCTATTTTACGCTTATTAGGTTTGATCTCACCCGCTTCTACCTCATAACCTAAAAATTCTACTCGCATTTTAAGAAAGGAACATTTCTTAAGGTTCAGCGAAAACCCTGCCTTTGTAAGTTTGTCAAGCACGACCTGTAACCTATCTAATCCCTGAGAAATCGAGTCACTAATTATTAAAATGTCATCAACGTATACTATCACATACTGGTTAGAAAGTTCACCCAGGGCGTTTATGATCGCCCGCTGGAAGACAGATATTGCGTTACGGAGTCCAAACGGCATAGACAGGAACTCATACTGAGAATCGTTCGTCACAAAAGCAGTACGCTCAATTGACTCGGCTTGGACAGGAATCAAATGAAATCCACTTGCACAATCAAGTTTAGTGAAGAAATTGGCACCATGGAGCCGCGAAATCTGATCAGAAATTAACGGTAATGGATAACGGTCCGGTATAGTGTTCATGTTCAACTCTCTGTAATCTATGCACATGCGGTCTGATCCATCATGTTTTTTAACTAACAGAGCAGGGCTGGCAAAAGGGGAATTACTAGGCCTAATAATATTTGCTCGTAACAATTCGTCAACCCTGTCCCGCATAATCTGACGTTCCTCTGGCGACAACCTATAGGGTCGTCTTTGCACGGTACGGTTAGGATCTATCAGTCTAATAACTAACTCGCCAGTATTGACGCGGGTTGTTGGAAAACCGTTGATAAAGTATTCAGAATATTGTTTTAAAATATTCAAGAGCTCATCATGTCTATCGGCTGGAATATCCGTATCAATACTATTAAAATTTTCGGTAGGTACACAAACATCCGATGAACTACAGGCATTCACAGTCTTATCTCTCGTTAAACTAAACTTTGTTGCACTCATGTTTACACGAAAGGCATTGTGTAAAATCTCCCTGCCTATCAAAATGTTACTACGTAAACAAACATCTGGCAAGATATGGAATAAAATCTCAATGGCTAAATTATTAATTTCTACCTGACACAATATTTGCAAAGTACAGTTTACTTTTTTGTTGCCAATACCAACTAATGAAATCAAATTATTAATTCGTTTGCCTCTAAATTTACTGGAAATACTCTCTTTCATTAACGAGCATTCCGCTCCTGAATCAAAGTCAAATTTAAAACACTCACCAAAGTGGTTTAATATTCCGGACGGAGGCTCCACCAGGCACAGGTCGACACGCTTCTCCACCTGGGCTGCAACACTGGCCCCGTCAGCTGTGCAGCGGCTGGCGATGTGCCCCTTTGTACCGCATTTGTAGCAAACGATGTAGCTGTTGTTGGGTTGCTGGTGTTGAGAAGTAGTCGTAGCTGTTGTTGCAGTTGCAGATTTCTTTGCCTCAATCTTCTTCGTCCTACAATCCGCTTGTCTATGCCCCAGCTTGCCGCAGGTATAGCACTTGATCTGTGATTGCGATGAAAACTTTGGGCGTTTTTCTTTCGTGTCATCTGTCCGGTTATCAATGGAAGCCTTACGTTTCAAGTATGAGAAAGCTTGGAGTTCTTGCTGTAGCTGATGTGACGTGTATTAATCTCCGTAGTAAAGGCAAGTCGTTGCAAGCGAGTATCAATGCGTGCCAAGTGTGCTGTAACTGTCGATACCGCTATTTGCTCAATGCTCGTATTTTTCCACCGGCTAAGCAATAACGTAATCAGACGACTAGCATAGGCGGCATAGGTCTCATCTTCTTTAGGTTTATCATTACTTAAATTCATGAGGGTCGCCGCAAATGTTTCAACACTGACAAATCTTGCCGTAAATAATTCTTTGAATTGCGTCCATGTCATACCTGGATAAGTAATTTCCGATAGCCATGATGATGCTGAACCTTTCAATGCCTTGCTGAGGATCACAACGAGCTGGCCACCTTGTACAGCATTTTCTTCAAAAACTAAATCGGCTGTTGAACACCACAATCGCGCATCACAATTGTACTTATCGGGGTCGAATTCCGGCAATACCACTTTGTTATTTACACTTGGAGTTTTCAATGCTTTGATAAGCTCGCGCATTTGTTCATTTTGCATTTGGAAAAGTAGCCGCCATTGTTCATTGTTACTAGTCTCAATTGCACGGTTAGATCCCACTTCTGATGTAGTATCAGTGGGTTTTCGGCCGGTGTCCTCGGACATAATGTGGGCAGACGTAGGTATCGCGCAATGAGAGAAGAGTACAAATCAACAAATCAACACAGTATGGTAACACTGACGAAACGAAGGACAGTTCCGTGACGCGTCTTCACTTGTCGGCGTCCACCAAAAAGTGTCGCCTCACGACTCTGTCGAAGCGCACCGGCCCCGTAGTTGCGTGATTTCACCGCTAGGGGCGCGCTTGCGTTCCGTTTAGCGACCGTACTCATGCCCGGATACGACATATATATATATATATATATATATATATATATGTAAAGAAAAATATTGTTTTCTTTTATTTAAATATTTTTTTGTTTTAAATATTTTCACGCATCGGCCGCTGAATAAAGTGTAGTTTAAAAACTGGTTGACGCCGGATTATAACATAAAAAGAATTAAGCTGTCATATGACACAATTCATGAAAATAATTTTATTACAAAAATACTTAATGTAAAATAGTGATTTAGGAATCGACATTGTGATTAAAAACATTAAATGTCGTTTCTTTACTTACAGAGAAACTCAATTGTGTTTTGATTGCTGTGTCATCCAAATCACTGTAAAATATTATCTTATATATATATATATATATATACTATACGATTTACAAAAACGTAAAAACAAAAAAAAAACTAGCACTAATATGGCACATATGGCAGGTGTGTGTACAATATTGTAACTCAAACAACATTAAAATTAAATATTGTACACAAGTAAATTTAACCTTTACAATTTCGTAATAAATACAAAATTGCAAATAAAGCATTTAAAACATAATATTAGACATAAAAAAATGGGTGGCTGGTTCTCTGTTCGCGATGTTATGTAATATTAAATATGGCTAATCTCCGGTGCCGTAGAAGCGTTACTACGGCTCTACGACACAGGCGCTAGACCTATAGCGAGTTTAATATTAAAAACGTTAGCAACTTGAGGCATAGCATTAAATACTGTTTGTTTACACAACAGCCCGAGCGCCGCGCTACCCTTATTCATAATTCAGACGCTTTTAGACGTCTCGCCCATCTCCGGTACAAGGTTTTAATAAAAAGGCATCCAGGGCCCTTTGCCATTCACACGGGATAGAGTTATAAGCATCTCATTAGCTTACACTCGCTTCGGCCTTATCGCAGATGTACGTGGTCGATAGTCGACCCACGTGTGCCGGGGGCCCCGAAGTGCAAACTTGTTTTTGTTCTATCGCCACACTTAAGGCCGGGCTCCACTGTAAGCAGCGCGGGGCGAAGCTAAATTAAGACGAGGCGGGATAATGAACTCATTAAATATTGAACGGACTTCACACTTCGCTCGCGAAATTGAACAAGAGTTTGTTTATTAAGAATTAATGTGAACTTGGCGTGGGGGACTTTCGAAGGTTGTATTTGTTGTGACGGATCCATCGTCACATCGTCTGTAGCAGCTGCAGACGGCAATCTAGAAAAGTTTTTCGTTTAATACCATCTTAATTAGGGGGTGTTTCTTACAACCGTATAGTAAAATGTTAAAACATGTTGTACTTTGTCAGTGTATTTGCTGTAGGTGAAATGCATACAAATTTTCTAGTGCGCGGTTTTTGATTAAACTAATGGGTAAATTATGTACTAAATTCTAAGTATTAACTATTAGTAGTAATCAAGTTAAATGGATATACGTTAAATTGTGATTAATATTTCATAAACAGAAACACGAGTTCAATCGGAATGCTCCACTAAATATTTCGTAGTAGTAGTTAAAAAAAACGTAGTCAAATTTAGAAGGTCCAGTTCTTGTATGAAAGAAAAATACTATTTTGCCTTTACATTAGACTGGTTTTAATGGTGGCTTAGTTATTTATAAAGAAAGAAATATTTGTTATTCGAAATATTTACAAAATCCTAACGGATAACCGCATACAGTGCCGATGATTTTGACTAGAAAAAAAGTATACTTACAAATGTGCTGTAATGAATTTCGTGGCTAATTTAAATATATGCATTTTATTATCATTTATTAAGGCAATTACTTTTATTTATTTTTAGTTTTATTTCCCCAAATTTGTCCTGTGACCATGAACGATGTGAAGGGTTCGAAACTCCGAAAAATAAAACTAAAAATAAAGTCGAGAAATCCGTAAACATAATATAATTTTTATGCATTATGAATTTTTACCCATTATTTTGGAGACTTAAATTACGCAAAAAAAATACTACCGATCTGTAAAAAAAATGCTATTGTACTATTAGAAAGAAAAATTCAATTTATCCTAAGGTTGCCTGGAAGAAATGACTATGTTTCTTGTATATCCTACTGTGCTATTAAAATGTATTCTATTCTGTTCTGTAGTACAGATATTGTTAGTAATTGGGACATACAGGCGACCAATGAATAAAACAAATACAAAGAGAAACGTATCGAATATTCAAAGCGTTTGGAAACTCCGAGATATAGTCTACGGTATCCACGTCGATGACTGTTGAAAGAGATTTTACGGTGTAAGTGATGAGAAGGAGCGTTAAGCAAATTTCATTCCAATTTACCTTACTATTTTATGTTTTACTCTATTATCATAATCTAATAAATGCCAGCTCTATTGTCTAACATAAGCTTGACGGCTGTTCTATTATTGGGTAGTTTTTACTCGTAGTACCAATTTCGTTTTATCTAATCTGACTAGCATTATTTAGGCACAAAGCCTTTATGGTCACTCATTATTTCGTTAATATTTCGCCCGGAAAGTACACGGACTGCCAAATGGGCTGACTTTTAATGTATTTGTGGTATAACATTATGTAGGTATGTGTTGTAAATTGTCTAGAAAAATGTTATATTTAAAAATTCGCTTATGACTTGGTCCAAACTTTCATCGACGCTGTATTATTTTCGCGAGTATATATTCAATTGAACAGTGCACGTATTTTGGCACGGAGCGGTATATGCTGCACTCGGGTTTTTCGAATCAACAATTTTGAATGCTGCTATCTCGTTGCATTTATAGTGATCTGTACAATGTAGTGTTTTGTTTCAAATATTGAGTACTACACAAATAGTTGTCCGACGTTTAAATTCAAACATTTTTATTCAAAGTGAAATTAATACTTTTTTATTTATGAATTTTTTTTCGAAAAAAGGAGGGCGACAGGATTCCCACCGCTACGGGAATCGAACGCACATCTTCCAGATTCGCGCCTAGACGCTTTAACCACTAAGCTAAATGGCTGACCGTCACTCTGACGAAAATATCAACGTCCTTTATCCACAATGTTTCTTCGCATTCCAAGTAATTCTTGGCGCATCTATTGTTATATCCTTTACAGCACACAAACAATTTCCAATATCGTTATACAAAGGTAATTTGAACGAGAGATGTGGCCATTGCTATATGGAATTTAAATTATTGTTGTAGTACTAATCTCTGCACTTCAAATGACACATAACAAATAAAACTTTTTTATTTTTATTTAGTTTAAATATGGTAATTTAAAGCACCGAGGGAGCCATAGGATTAATATACGAGCTTTTTACCTACAGCTGGTTTAAGTTTTACACTGGGTCCAATCGGACGCGCAAACACAATTCCGCTGCGGCGTTCGAGATGGATATCGTATTGGGAGACGACGAGACATCCATTCCGGAAGATTTTCAATCCATTATGCAAACACTTTTTGGGATTGCAATGTCTGACGCCGTTAGAGTTTCGGCTTTTCTACGAACCGCGGTGCAAAGCTTAAAGCTACTCGGAAGATTTACTTGAAATCGGTTATGATTGCCTTGTGAATTAACATAATTCCATAGTGACTTTAAGTTCAAATAAATAATGAATATTTCAGGGCACATTTTTACACAAAGTTTTCTAGTCCCAAACTAAGCAACGCTTGTGCAAAAAGCAACGCTTCTAGTCCCAAACTAAACAACGCTTGTACTATGGGTACTGGATAACTGATAAAGTATGTTTATAAACATACTTTTCTTTAGTAAATAAATGCATATTATAAATATATAAACACCCAGACACTGGAAAAACGCTATGTTCAACACACAATATCTTTCGTTATCTGGCCTTCAATGGTCCAGCCATTATCAGAAATTAGGATTGAAAAATATATCTGAAATTATATCAGAATTGAGGATAAAACAAAGGCAATCTCATAGCGCGTGTCGACGGAAGCGAAAACGTAAAACAATATCAAAATTTAAATTGTACAATATTTAATTCTACAATTTTAAAGAAACTTAGAACGATAATAATAGTATTAATATCATATCCATTGCTACAAATTTATTTTTGCGTATTCGTTTTTTAAAAATAGCTCATGGGAAGCGTTCGGTAACAAAGTCGCTAGTTCCATGATTTATGTTCGCCCAAAATTGCTCAACGCGCCTAAAGAAGATTTCACTTCGATAATTTCGAAAAATGTCCTCGGATTATGCTTTCGAATTCTTCAGTCAAAAGGCGAGTATCGACGTGGGAGTTTGCCTTCGCAGGTAGCGAGACGGGATATTGAGTTATTGTGGAGCGTTGTTAGTCGAAATAGCTTCCGGCGGGGATTTCCGATGCCTTTGGATAATCCCGCTGCGCTTGCTCGCCAAACAGCGTGTTGGTTGAGTTGTCTGTATTACATTTTGCCAGAAGATTGCGGTGTGCGTTTGCTTGGTGGCTTTGTCTGTGCTGTGCTACTAAGGAATGATACAGCCTCGGTATTTCTGATTAGTTACGAACATGGTTTACTTTTGTAATTAATGAGTTTTGAGATTCTTCATTTGTTAACGGTACGAGCTTACATTGTGTAGTGATTTCTAAATTCGATTATAATAATTCGAAATGCAGACGACCTTTTAATAGATTGGCCCGTAGCAATTTAATTAGAAATTAAGTACAAATTGAATGAATTGACCTTCAATAAATATTTTCCATGGGTATAATTAGCAAGCTTTACGAAACTATTGCGTATTAGTTTCGATATTACTTGAGACAAAATTATGAAATGGATTTTCAAGATTTCGTCTTTCATATGCTATTTTTCATTAAAATCTTAGCGGTTGACTTACTTTTGTACGTCAACACTAGATGAGGTTGTTTTAAAGAAAAGTGAACTAATATCTTTAACATTAGAAGAGCATAAGTTGCTCTTACATAAAGCAATACAGTCTAAATAAATATATAATAATTAAATTAAGGCCACGTTCCTTGTTCAAGACGTTCTATAATAAACCGAGAAACTCTCAATTCATCGTAATAACAAAAATAAA